GTCACTTGAAGCCAGGGACTCCTGTTCAAAAGCTAGTGCATGTGTCGACTTTTTTTTTTTTTTTTTATCCCTAATTTGATAATAGCTCTTCAATTAAGCTGTGAATCTCTTTCAACCCTTTCAATTTAATCTCTAACTCGTTAATAACTCTATACTTAAAGTCCAACTTTTATTTAATTAAATTTCTAATTCGATAATAGCTTTTTAATTAAAGTTCAAATCTCATCCCACCCAAACAATGATAAAATATGAAAAAAAAAAGAGATAGAAAATAAATAATTAGCTTAATCTTATAGTTATATCCATTATTCATCCATTATTCAGGTAGCATATTTGATGTTCATCTTGATTGATCATGTGCAATTTTATATGTCGCCGTTTTAATATTAAATTAATAAAAAAATATTACTATTTTTTAGACTAACCCATATTTTTTCTAGTTATTCAAGTTAGTTCTGGACTTGCCGAATCAATCAATTTACATTATAGTAACTCTCGTGCATTTTATTTGAATCTTGATCTAGACAAGGAATCACTACAAAAGTTTTCAATGTTTCTTATTTACACTTTAAATGAGTTCTTCATGACTTATCTATTTTTAACTTAGATTTTTTCATAATAAATGGAGCTTGTTTATTATTGACTTATGTTTTTTTTTTCCTTACTAGGTTTTGATAAAATGAATCTTATATGTAATGGATTTACATCATTTGTTTACCAAAATAAAAAAATTCACATGCGTGTTTGTTACACCTCAAACTTATGCTAGTAAATGAGTGCAGAAAACAAAACAAGTCTAGCGTAAAATCCTAGGAAATAGAGATGCAATTACTGGATAGCACAACTTGTCATATAGTAGTTTTGTTGATTTTGCAAATTCAATTGATTTAACTAGTGAAATCATCTTTAAGCATTAAGCGATTTGAGAAAAAAATTAAAAGGATAAAAAAATTTCTTTTTATTGGATAGTCCAACACAAAGAGATAGAAAATAAATAATTAGCTTATCAGGTTAGTATCTTATAGTTATATCCATTATTCAGGTAGCATATTTGATATTCATCTTGATTTGATGTTCATCTTGATTGATCATGTGTAATCTTATATGTCGCCGTTTCAATATTAAATTAATAAAAAATATTATTATTTTTTAGACTAACCTATATTTTTTCTAGTTATTCAAGTTAGTTCTGGACTTGCCGAATCAATCAATTTACATTATAGTAACTCTCGTGCATTTTATTTGAATCTTGATCTAGACAAGGAATCACTACAAAAGTTTTCAATGTTTCTTATTTACACTTTAAATGAGTTCTTCATGACTTATCTATTTTTAACTTAGATTTTTTCATAATAAATGGAGCTTGTTTATTATTGACTTATGTTTTTTTTTTCCTTACTAGGTTTTGATAAAATGAATCTTATATGTAATGGATTTACATCATTTGTTTACCAAAATAAAAAAATTCACATGCGTGTTTGTTACACCTCAAACTTATGCTAGTAAATGAGTGCAGAAAACAAAACAAGTCTAGCGTAAAATCCTAGGAAATAGAGATGCAATTACTGGATAGCACAACTTGTCATATAGTAGTTTTGTTGATTTTGCAAATTCAATTGATTTAACTAGTGAAATCATCTTTAAGCATTAAGCGATTTGAATTAAATCCTACTCCTACTTGGAATGGAAAAAAATTAAAAGGATAAAAAAAAATTTTTTTATTGGATAGTCCAACACTCACAATCTCCTCAATAATAGGTGTCAAACATCAGAGAAATGGTTAGTTAGGGACACTAAAAATAAAAATGATAACACACTTTTCAGATTGGGTTGTAAGAAACTTGTTCGACCTTTAGCTCTCAAAAGGAAAAGGCTCTAAGTCAAGACTTCATCAATGGGCCATGGCACTTTCAATTTCTAGTCTTGTGGTGTTTAAGGGTATGGTAATAGTTTTTTTTAAAAGTATTTTTTTAAAAAAAGTATATCAAAAAAATATTTTATTTTTATTTTTTAAAATTCAAATCAACTTATTAAAAAAATTCAAAAATACTAAAAGAATTAATTTGAAGCAAAAGAATTTTTTATTTTTTTTTTGACAAAAAAGTAGTTGAAACTCAATCCCAAACACCTAATTGTATTCAAATAAGAAGTGTTCCCAGTGTAAATAAAATATTTTTTATGCAGTGTTTTAGAAAAATAATAACGGTCAATACATTTACTTTTATAAAACTTATTATTGAATCTCTTTATTTTTATATTTTTTTCAAAGTTATTAAACCCGATTTATAGGGGTAATTATTTTCGGTTCGGTTCAATTTCTACATGAAAAAATTAACCAAATCAATATTATTAATTTTAAAAATTTAAAACCAAAACCGGTTCAAACCAACTGATTTTGGTTCTGTTCGGTTTAGTTTTTGTTGTTCAAAAACCAGTAAAATCAAAAAGAAAATCTCGTTTCTGTTATTCAGAAATTTGTTTCAATTTACATGACTAAGATATAATTGAGAGGATAACAAATCTGCCCATAAAATACTAGCAAATCTTGATTTTTGTTATTCAAAAAAAAAGATTTGCCCACAAACTACAAGCAAATTATAACATATATATAAAGAAAAAACCCACAAAATATAGGGATGAACTTGAAGTGGAGTTTAAATCTTAATCATCAAAAAGCCTCTTTTTTTTATCTGCCCAGTATGATGAGTTTGATTAAAGTAAATGGTAAAGTTCATGAATTTGTTGACAGGAAAAGAAGAGAATATTATAAAGAAGATAAGATGTAGGGAAAAACTTAAAGAGACGAGAGATAAAGAGAAAAGAAGGGGGGCTACAAGGAGAAATGTGAGGTAAAGAGAAAAATGGATAAAAAAAAGGGAAGGCTGTGAGAAAATGATGAGAGGCAAATAAAAAGAGGTGTTGGTTTAGGATCTTTAGGAGCATGAAGCAGGAGCTTAACAAGCAACTATCATCCAGTATGAAGAAAAATCAAAGAGGAGAGATGTAGAGAGCAAAGGAAAGGGAGAGATGCTGGAATCAAAGAGGAGAGATGTAAAGAGCAAAGGAAAGGGAGAGATGCTGAAAACAAAGGGAGGGGGGGTGTTGGTTTAGGACCTTTAAGAGTATAGAGTAAGAGCTTAACAAGTAACAATTGTGGAGCATGAAGAAAAATCAAAGAGAATAGATGCATATAGCAAATGGAGGGGGGGCGCCTGAATGTTACTTTAGTTTTAGAGTTAGAAAAAACATTATATTTATACTTGCTTTTTTTTTAAGTGCTAACTTGGGTAAACTAGTTCGGTTTGATTCAGTTCAATCGATTTCAAACTTTAAAAATCAAAACTGAACCGAACTGGAATTTTTTTTATTTTTGAAATGGTTGATTCGATTTTTTTTTATTCAATTTTTTGTTATTTTTTTATTTTCTTGATTTAATCGGTTTATTGGTTTTTTTGCTTACCCCTACCAATTTAAGTTACAAGTTGAGTAGATAAACCCAGGTTGACCTAGAACCATGAAATTTCAAGATTTTTTTAAAAAAGTTTAAATAAAATCATTTTGATTGTTTTACAAAGTGAAATCAAGTATTAACCAGATAGACTAGGTAACAAATTGACCTACTAGGTTGACTAGGTCAAATCAGGTTAACTCCATGTTAACTTTTTTTGAAATTCAGTTAGGCTCAAGGATCGAGTTTAATAACTATTATTTTATTTAGCTCAATTCTTTGCTATTTTTTTTATGATATTTAATTTTTTAAAAAAATATTTTTTTTTATTTTTATTTAAATTCTCCAATTTCATTCAATACTAATAATACTAAAAATAATGGATATCAATTTAATTTGAACTAGATGGATATTGTTTCAAATGAGTTTTTTTAATAGTTGTTTTACTTAATAGGTAATACAGATGTTGCCAAACTTAATCTAAAACCTATCCCAAATCTTTTTTTATACACACATATACACAAACCTGAATTCTAATGAATATTTAAATTTTTTTTTTTAATTAGAGGAACACAGTTCCTAAACACAAATAATAAAAACATCAACTAACATATGCTATACTCTTCATCTAAATTGCTCATGTATGCTTGCTTTGCTTATTGCGAGACTTGAATATTCTTCCACTCTTTCAGCTTTAAAAAAAGGAAGAAAGAAAGATAGGAAGTTGCTTGGTTGGAAGATTTGATACTTGGGCACCAAGAATACAAGTCAAATAAACCCACCTGGGAGCCTGCCTCGGCAAGAAAAACATAAAGACAGAAGGGGACTTGGTTGGAACATTGGACACTTGCACGCAAGAATAGATATCCAATTGGGTTGGCTTGGAGGAGTTTTCATCGGTTTGTTTTGTTTTTGTCTTTAAAAAATATTTTTTATAATTTATAATTTATAAAATTTTTACTTTATTTTTTTATAATTTATTATTTTTAAATGTATTGGTGTTAAAAATAAATTTTAAAAAATAAAAAATATTATTTTAATATATTTTTAAATAAAAAATATTTAAAAAACGAAAACCGCCACAATTCTGAAGTAAAAAAAAAAACTACGGATAACCTTGAACCAACATTAAAATAACGATAAACTCACTCTGTATAAAAACCCTAAATGTAAAAAATTCTCTCTTGGCAAACTAAAGATATATATTTATTTCTCTCTAACCAAGTAGCCCCTTCCTCCCTACAACTAAAAAACAAAAAGCGTGCAAACCAGTGTTTGGCCTAGCGGTGGAATAGGCTTGTCTCTTTCCACTGCACCTGGGTTCGAGTCCTAGCGTGCACGCCTGTCATCCCCGCGGTGCTTTACATGCCTACTGGGTTTGCAGGGTGTTCAGTGGACCGTGAGGATTAGTCGTGGTGCGCGCAAGCTGACCCGAACACCTCACGTAAATAAAAACAAAAACAAAAAAAAACAAAAAGCGACGCCAATAAAAACAAAAACAAAAAAAACAAAAAGCGACAAAAAAAATGAATGATGATAATAAAAATATTGCAATCATGGCAACAAGTAAGTTCCTCTCTTAATTTTCTCAAAAGAGTTCATGCTTTTAGCTTTTAATATTTGAACCCCGATCGATTCTTCTTTAGTGTTTTGATGAATTGATTATTATTCATGTGTTTCGTGTGATTTCTTGATGTGAGTTAGGGCTCATGTTTGAGAATTCATGTGAAGTTGGTGTCTTTTCAAAGCTCACCAATGCTTATTGTTTGGTTGCCATTGGAGGTTCTGAGAGCTTCTATAGGTAATTTCTTTTAAACGGTTTTCTTTTATATGTGCATTTAGTTGATTAAAGATGGTTAAAAGAAAGAATACAAGTAAAATGATTTTGTTTTTATGATTGGTAATGTGATTCTATTATATATTGTGTTGTGTGCAGCACATTTGAAGCTGAGTTAGCAGACGCTATTCCTGTTGTTAAAACTTCCATTGGAGGCACTAGAATCATCGGTAGACTTTGTGCAGGTAAAGGCCTTTTATCTTCTTTGTTATTTTGCAGCCTTATGATGTTTTACAAAGAAATTCTGACTTGTGTTATTGGTTTTGGTTTTAATGGTAGGAAACAAAAATATACTACTACTGATCAAGGTGAGTAATACAGTTGTGAAAATGGTGTTTGGGGTAGTTGTATAAGATGCCGAATTGATGGTTTAACAAATCATTGTTGTTTTAGAACTTCAACACTTGAGAAACAGTCTACCTGATCAAGTTGTGGTTCAGAGAGTTGATGAGAGATTGTCTGCCTTGGGAAATTGTGTAGCTTGCAATGACCATGTTGCTCTAACACACACTGATCTTGACAAGGTATTTTGAGCTCTTCCTTAGAATTCATTCTTTATTCCCTATTTATGTGCTTTTGATACTATATACTTGTTGACTATTGATTTGATATGACTACTCTATATTATTGCATGCTTTTAGAGGTTTGTTCATTCTTTACCAAGTCTTGACTGTTTTGATCAGGGAACAGAGGAAATGATTGCCGATGTTCTTGGAGTAGAAGTTTTTAGGCAGACAATTGCTGGTAATGTTCTTGTGGGCAGCTACTGTGCTTTCTCCAACAAAGGTGGCTTGGTAAGATGTTTAATATACTTGGCTGATGCTTATTTAGGCACTAGATGTGAAATATCCAAGTATGCTTATCATGTTCTGAACCGATCACTTTGTGTTGCAGGTCCATCCTCACACATCCATTGAAGACTTGGATGAACTTTCAACCCTTCTTCAGGTGCCTTTAGTGGCTGGAACCATAAACCGTGGCAGTGAAGTAATTGCTGCTGGCATGACAGTGAATGACTGGACTGCATTTTGTGGGTCAGACACTACTGCTACTGAACTTTCTGTCATTGAGAGTGTTTTCAAGTTGAGGGAAGCTCAGCCAAATGCTATAGTGAATGAGATGAGAAGCTCATTGATTGACAGTTATGTATGAGCCATTAATGTGGGCATGCTGTCAAAAAATATTAATGGTGCTATCTTGCCCTGAAAGGTTGAATCGCTTGATAGTCGTTGTTGAAAGTATATTGATGCTCGACATCACATGTTTTATTATGAAAGATATTTGTTTGAAATACTATTTTTCACTAATGAAACAAGGAGAAGCTCTGTTATTTCCTTAGGGTTCTTCATAACTGTGGAGAACTAAAAATGGACGTTGAAAGTTGGCTTGCTGTTGCTGGTTTTGTATCATCAGTATTGCTGGATTGCCAAGATACATGCCTCAACTCTGTTAATTTGTTTTCCAACTGAATGCCGATCATTTGAGATTTTTGCGTTGTATCTTGCAGCATGCTACTTGCTGTACCAAGGTTGTGGTCAGATCTGAAGCATGCATATCACTAGCTTAAACTTTTTGGAATGCTAGTTTTATTAGTTGAGGATTGACAATTTTAGCTGATCAATGATTTAATTTTGGAAGATGCCTGATTCTGCGCTGGTCTAGCTAGTTGATGCATGGGAATTTTGACTCTTCATGTTGCATTAAATTAGCTAAATACCATATTTTTTTTCAACAGCAGCAGAAAAATTTCGATTGATGGAATTTCCATTTAATCAAGTATGTTGTTTCCTTTGCCTAAAAATGCATGCAGTTGGGCTGCCAAACCTTGTGGGCTACTGGCCCGATGTTTTTTTTTATTTTTTTACCGTGATATTCATCCTGTTTTCTCCTTTATTTTCTGACAAAGATGTGAAATTCATTGATGCGGGTACAAACCTAGTTTAAAAAGACAGATCGCCTGGATAGAATAAAGGACTTGGTCCAAAGTACACAACAGAAATCAAGAAGCTATTGTAACAATGTTTGATGCCTAAAAACAAAGAGACCTGGTGATAGGTTGAATAAAGCCCTTCCATGGTCTCGATACATAGAAACACAAAGCTCTTCTATTAATTTCATTTTCCTGCTGATACTGCCACTAGACAAAAAGAAACACAGTATCGACATACAATGGCAGAAAAATATTCAACTTTCTACAAACAATGGCAGGACTGACATATATTATAGATTGTAACTTTATGATGCTAGGTTGCCAGCAGAAGTTGAATTAAAGCTTTGTAAAAACCGTAGAACAAAAAATGCAGTTGCTCAAGCTATATTATTAACTAATTTTCTGCAGCCAAAAATTTAGCCAAAAATTCGATGGCAGGGCTTCAAAATGCTGCCATCCAAAAGTTTTGAGTTCAACCACGAAGGTAAAACAGATTCGGTGCTGCTCTGTTTGTTTGAATGGGGAAACTATCTGTAGACTGTAGTTAAATAGACATATGGTAGTTGCATCATCTCACTTCATTAGCCTTATCTGCTCCATCTACTTTTACATCAGTCCTAACTTCTCCGCTGGTAGGCCTGGAAGATTTCAGTTCAAAATTCAAATAATGGCCAGAAACAAAGAAAGTTCGAATAATATCATACTCTTCATGCTTGCTTCCAAACATGGTCTCAGCAACTTGGCTGATTAGGTAACAACTGGATTTCAACTTGAATTGGAATACAATTCTAACTCTGGTATCATCAACACCGAGGTGCATTTAGCCAAAAACTTTTATACTCTATTTATCTAATGCATGACAGTGTGTGAGTGCTTATCTAAAAGAAAAATCTGCAGATTAGCTGTCGCATCTTGGAGAGTTGATTTGAGGGGACCTAAATGACCAACAATCTATAATGAAGAGGCCACTCAGCTCATGTATAGGAGATAGATTCAAGAGAAAATAGACACCTCAAGTAAAAAGACAGAGAGCACATGAGATCACATGTTATACGTCATTGTTAGGTCAATCTGTGCACACATCTTATCCTGGAAAACACAAGTCCAAGCCTCAGCAGTGTTTGATACCATAAGCATTCCTCTAATAAGACATATCTAGGATACCCTAGACCAGAAACCTGTCCAGATATGTACTATCACTGTGCATAGTGTACAGAAGCAACAAAATGCAACTTGTTGGACACTTGGATTTCGTAAACAGTCTCAAGGATCTAATTACTCAGAGCCTGGAGACTGAATGAACACAACATATGATTTCATTCACTTAAGGGTCAAACTCTACATCCCTTCTCGACTTTGGCATTTTTCCTTCAATAACATGACTTTTGTTTTTCCAAACTCAATTTTATTCTATTACAGAATGTGGATCACTATGAGATTTTGGTGGCTCATTTACTGAGCTCAAATGGTATTTCATATGTCAGATTAGGGTCATTAAACCAGATTAGAGGGTTGCTTTGTGAGGTTCATTTATTCCGAAGTTATCCTTCTAGAGAAGTTCCTTTTGCCTTTGACAAATTGTAACCTGGCTATTTTATTGTGAAGGTTATTTATAATTGATTGTCAATACAATCTTACAAACAGCAATAATTTCTTAATAAAGGAAAAGGGTCAGGAAAAGTGCACTTACAGTCCACTTAAAACTTTGATGGTGTCATAGAATAGCCATTGCAGAGTCACAACAGGTCCAACAAGCATTATCCTTATAGGAAGGCTTCTTGTAAATAAGTTGGAAAACCCAATTTTCCTCACAGCCTGCTTATGTCAAAGAAAGTTGTCTAGGTCATGTTCTGTAACAGTAAAGAGAAGCATCCTAAAAACAGAATTTGAATAGCAGATAATACCAGAATAAGGCTATCAGCCTTTTTGCTATAAAGAGAAGCAACAATGTTATCAGCTGGATTAGAAATAAAGCTACCAACAGAGCCAGCAGTGTATCCAGCTAAACATGTCACCCCAAGCTGTTGAGCTTTTGAGCAATCCTCTTTCCTTCTTTTAATAACATTACGGTAAAGAAAGTCTACGGAATGCTCAAATGTTGAGAACATAACCATAGAGACTGTGGAAAAAGATGTCACAAGTGTCAGTGCTCATGCATTGAGAAACTATCAAGGTCACAAATTTCAGACTATCGAGGTCCTTCATATTTCAAATTCAACTGATCTTGAAAGAGATAATATACATAAAAGGGAACACTTAAAGTTGGATGCAGTAAAAGGTGTGATGAACATTTAGTTGAACTGTAATTTAGAGTAATTTAAGTTCAAGGCTTGTGCAATTACATGGAAGGTTTCGACCCCATAGCGGAACAAGCCCTCTGTAAAAACTGCAATACAGAATAAAATTTAACCTTGAAGCACACACATAATGACACCAAAAGGACCCAAAAGAATGAAGACATAGGTTATGAATTCCTTACCCAAGAAACCCTTCTGTTCTATAAACTTTTGGAAACCCATCAGCCAATCCTTTAGCAAAATGGGGCTGTGCTTGAACTCTAACTTTAACAGCTTCGAAGGGGCAGAGAGCCAAATTGGCAAAAACTTCAGCAGAGGCACTGCTCATAAAGAAAATAAAACTCCTGTTGCTATCAACCAACACGTTGGAGTAAAGGGTCTTGAAATATTCATATAAACCAAATCGACAACCACCTTGAGCACCATAACCAAAGAACTTCCCTGCCCACCCTCTCCAAAAAGCAGAAGGCCCTTGCTCTCTCAACAAAGTAGTAAAACATGAGTATATGCTATAATACTTGACGGGGTTCACCTACAAATCAAAATTAACAAAAACATGATTATTATTTGTTCGATGACCTCCAAAAGACAATTAAATTAAGTAATAAACATAAGGCTTCAATACAACTTATTCACTTGATGGGGATCACCGAAGAACATCATTCTAGGATAAAAATCCAACCTTCTATAAAAAAACACAAATAATAGATTCCACAACAGAATTAAGCAAGATATTCACCTGCATGTTTACTTTTAAGACATCAAGAGGCGTAATTGCAAGATGGGTGGTTCCAGCACTTAACATTCCACTAACAGCACAAAGAGCATAGTACCCTGTTGCTGCTCTGCAGTCTTGTGCTTTCAGTCTCCTTTGATCTTTCTCCATAACCATGTCAGCAGCTCTCTTGTTCTTTACTTGTCTTCAATTGTTAAGACATTCAAAAACAAAAACCTATTATAATTTCTCTTTCACAGAATCATAATTCTTTCTGAAAGTTGTATCGGATTTTACAGGACAGATGTTGTTAATTTCATCGAGAATCTGACAGCAACTCTGTAAGAATTTACAAGGGTTTATGCCTTGCCTGATTTATGCTGTGTTAGTTTGCTTTTTTCTTTTTTTCTTTTTCTTTTTTTTTTGAAATCTAAGGTAGTGTTTCGTACCCTCTCATCGCATAAGATACAAAAACAATAAATACATAAACATATTTATAAAGACAATAGTTTTTATTTTTAAAATATTTATGTAAAAAATTCTTAATTTTAATATTATATAAGATAAGAAGAAAAATAATTTTATTATAATTTTAAAATATAACAGGCAAGCTTTAGAGAATTAATTTCAGTTAATCTAGGTCGATTATTTTTTTAAAAGATCAAAATAATATTTTTTCGATTAATTTTTTATTTAAATTTAGTGGGTTTTTGTCACAAAGTTTATACCATATCATGAGTCAACCTAAATTTTTGATTGAGTTAGGTTAGATTAAGTCAATATTTTCTCATTAATTAGTTCATTTATCAGGCCAACATGGGACTTCACCTATTAAGCTAATTCATGTTTTATAACTAAAGTTATTATACTATTATTAATTTTAATAATAAATACAAATTAAAGTAAAAAAATAATATCTAAATATTCTTTATCGGTGTAAATTTGATATTATTACATATTAAAAATAAAATAGAATTTTTATATTTTATTCTCTTGATGCAAACAAAAGTAGTGATAAAGGGTTTATTACAAGTCAAAACCCTAAAAAATCAATAACAATATGTATATAAAAACTTTATCAAAATACTTAATTTTATTCCTCTATGTCTTCATTTTAAAAAATACTATTACAATCCTTTTTATAGAAAAAAAAACTAGAAAACCCTAATTATACTTAATAAAAAAATAGAAAATTATATTTAATAGGAAAAAAAACTCAAAAAATATCACAATAAAAAATAGAGAAAAAGATAAAAATAACCATGAAAAATATCTATTTTGTAGAAATTCTCCTACATTAGTCTTTTTAGATTGAAAAGAACTCATTATCGAGTTTAATCTTCAATTAAAAATTATTTTTTATCAAGAATATCTTTTGAGCACAAGCTACTCCATCAATGGTAACATCTTTACACACACTACCTCACCATAAGCCCCTAACACCATAGTTTTTAAACCCGGCCCGGTGTCTGGCCCGGTCCAAGGTCCGGGTTCCGGGTTTTGACCGGGTCGAACGGGTCGGCCGGGTCAATTTCTATTTTAAAAAAAATTCAAAATGACGTCGTTTCAATAAAAAAATAAATAAAAGTCAACGGGTTATCACCGGGTTTTTGACCGGGTTTTGCCGGGTCGTCCGGGTTTCCGGGTCAACCCGCCGGGTCGGCCGGGTCACGCCGAGTCATGACTTACCTTATTTTTTCATCAACCCGGCCCGGCTCCAGCCCCGGGGCGGCCGGGGCCAGCCCCGGGTCGGTCGGGTCCCGGGTCAACCCGCCGGGCCGGGCCGGGTTTTAAAACTATGCCTAACACAATATATTTATGTAGCACACTACCTCACCATAAGCCCCTAACACAATATATTTATGTGGGTCGTCCCATTATAAATACTTAACACAATATTTTTTTACGGGCCATCACATCATAAGTCTCACCATCAGGATTTCAAATGACTATAATTGATGTAGAAAAAAACAACACATTATTTTCTAGATGTCTTTATCTCAAGAGAAACCTCTTCATCCTCTCTTATACAAGCACATTTTATTACCTCTTCCTATCATGGTTGTTTTGCAACACACAATAAAACAAAATAAATACCAAGAATTGTCGAGCTCTCTTCTAGCTATAGTTGTTTAATAACATATAAAAAACAAAATAACTATTATAACCTAATTTTGTACCCTATTTTTTCAGAACTTTTTTACAAAATCCAAAACTAGCAAAGAAAAAAATAAAAATTCAATTTTTTTTTATTATTTGTGTCATTTTTGACATTTTAAATGTCTTTTTAAAGGAATTTAAAAAAATTAAAAATTTTGATTTATTATTAAATGTCTTTTCAAAAAAATTAAAAATTAAAAAACTTATAACATAAGTTTATTAAGTGTAAATGGTTGCTTTTAAGCTCATTTTGATCATGAATAAATAAAACAAGCCAAAGCTTCATTTATCATTCACCATCCTTTCATATCCAACTTTTGTATCTCAAAAGTGAGGATTAGGCATAATGAAGCTAGATATTGTGTCATGTGTTAAGGAAGAGTGCAAACTTGTTGTTATACAACTAAAATAACTTTTATGAGCACTTTTATATGATGAGAAAATTGTTGAAGATCTGAAAGAGCTGGAGTAATTGTGGCAAGGAGATCAATTATTCTTTTGTGCCCTGGATTTTCTAAGTCACCATCCATTAAAAGAACTTTTAATAATGAGTTGTGAGATGAGAATAAACTAGTTTTTGTTCAAGTTTTCACAGATAATGTTATTAATGAAGTCATTTTTATTTTTATTTTTTTAAATTGGATATGGATCTTTATGTATTTGCTTTATGGGCTAACTAGGGTGACTAGACTTGGCCACTTGTTGATGGGTTGATAGGGTGACTAGACTTGACCACTTGTTAACGAGCTTAAATGTGACTGAACTTGGTTGTACCACACTCTTCTAAAAGCCAAGGCTCATATTAGAATAAAAGACCTTTCGATATTTAAGTTGGTAAATATAAAAGGAGAAATAATGTATAAGAAATAAAAGGATGATGAAAAAGCATATGAACTGTATATGTGATTGTTTATTTTAAGTGAACTTGCAAATGGGTTTACTTGTTTATTTATACACCTCGACCACGTGAGCTTACCCTAGAAAAGTGATGTAATGATGGAGAATAATTATTTTTCCTTGCAAGTAACCTAAAAAGATGAGTTGTTAATTATTGTATCATTGATGTGTGCTTTTTGAGTAGATAGGTTCGTTGGAGATAGTTATTAGCAAGAATGGTAGAGTCCCTTTAAAAAAGTAGGTTAATGAGAGAAAAAAATGGCTAAGGAAAGCACACATCATTTTAATAGTTTGTACATAAACACAAAATATCATAGTGCTATTCTAATTTTTTTTAGAAATCTTAATTTGCATTGTGGTTGAATTTTTAAGAATTTATGTAGGATTGGTCCCCATAATGAATTTTTTTTTGTTTGCGTTACCAACCCAAACAAAAAGTATTTTTTTTATATGCATTACCAAATTTGATATGTTTCAATTTCTTATCTAATTTAAAATATTTTATTTAAATATAAATTTTATGATCCCAGAAACTATATACATTTCGACAAGTTACGTTAACTATTACTTAGAATGTGCATAACCAAGACTAACTTAAATGTTTATTCTTTTTTTTTAAATGATCAATCCAATGATATTACTTAATTGTGTTATTTATCATATTATATATTTATTTGCAAGATCATTTTTTTGGCAATTAGATAATAATTGAAAAAGGTTGCGCAACACATATTTTAGTGCGCATGCATCATCTATTATTCTTCATATATCAACAATAAATTTTTTTTAGGTTTTTAATAAATTATTTATAATCAAATCATAATATTCACATAAATTTTCTTCTTCCACTTTTTTATTAAATTTGAATTGAAAATAAATACAATAGAAAAGGCAAAATCACAATCACAATCATATCAAGATTGAGTGGGAAGATTATTTGTTATTATTTCTTTCAAAATTATTAAAGATAAGGAAAAAATTAAAGGACCTTATTGTATAAAAATTAACTTGAGAATACCTTTTAGGTAAATAAAAAAGAAATGAAAAAAACTAAGAGTGAAAAGAACATCAATCAACCGAGCAAGGAGACCCAAATTGGATGACCACAAGCCTAAGCTTAGATCTTGGGCTTTCTGCTTTCCAGCTTGGGCTTTCAACAATTAGGCTATGTAGAAAAGCAAACGTGCATGCCATTACACCTTCTTCACCGCGGATGCCACAATAGACAACATCATTTGATTTTGGTATTGTGTCTTGTCATTCAAATAGTCATATACATGGGAAACCTTGCCATTCTTTAGGAATGCAAAGCGACAATTAAGGGACAAAACATGCGGTAGAAACACTAACATATGGCTTAAATTAATCTTTCAAAACAGAAGAATAAAACAAAGTAGGAGTACTGATCATGCTTTTTTTCTTAATCATTACGTGTTATTCCATAGATACCTGCAAATATGAAGACTCAAGTCCATCATTCCGTTCAATTAAAGGTATGTCATCCAAGCTGACAGTAGTGAATTTATGAAATATTCCGCTCGACTGGCCTCAATTCTGAACTCTGATGCTCTGTGTTTGTGTTGTTTTCTTTTTGTGCTTGTTATTGGCTGTTGATTACTGTGTTTTGGATTGCATATTTATGGTGAAGGGAAGTCTAGATGGAAGTGTATCAATCCATTTTGGCTGGTGGCAAATTTAATTTTATCGATGGGGATGTTTGCTAGCACTATGTGATTATACAAGTGATTTATCTAATTCATTGACATATCATGGGGACTTCTTTTTTTTTTTTTTCCTTTTCTATTTCAGAGTAGTAAGGCTATTCATTTCGAGTTAATTTTTAGAGTATTGACGGTGGACTTAACCAATAAATTTCAGACACTAATCGTTAAATGGTTGGTGTTGTTTAGATAATTCACTGGTGTTGAATAGGATTGCTAGGAGGGAAGGTGAAAAATAGGTTAAGATTAATAGAGGGTGATTGTCTGTCTCCCACTTGGGAAATAAGAAGCTATGATTTATATTCCTTGTGCCACACAACATCTTAAATTAAGCAGACAATGTCTATCATTTGAATTGCTTAAAAAAAGGAAGAATCTGGATATGAAAAATTAGTTATTTTACTAACATTAACATGCTGACATGGCCTAATGTCATTGTCTGTCTCTGTTTGGTTTCTTTTTGTGTTTGGATTTTTAACTGGTAATATATGACCATAGATAATTATTCAACCATGTCTTTTGGACTTTCTTGGCAAGTACATTCTCTCTCTCCAAAGTTTTAGAGAAAGATTCAATGCTTTTGGAAAATTACTAAATGTGCAAACCAAACCCAAGATTTAATTGCTTCATAACTTATTTTCATGAGCATGCATTAGTATAGAATCAATGCCATCAAATGGATCGTGAGTTCTTTTCTTCGATTTGGCGGTGATTTTTTTCACAACATATATATAGTTGGTAGTGGTATTAATTTCTTGACATTTTTTTATGCAGGCTTGGTGAATCCTATACTTTTGAGGCAGCCCATATAAGTGTTTGATCTGAAAAGCTTGACAGCAATCCCGTCTCCTCTGATATAAACTCTATTCCAGGAAAAGGAGGGTTGTTCATCGGTTGTAAAGATGAGGGGAGCTGTTCTTGTAGCACTTGCTGCTACGGTGGGGAATCTGTTACAAGGATGGGATAATTCAACCATTGCAGGTATTTACATGCCAGTATACCATTATTTTCATACAATATAGAAATCAAATATCTTTTTTGTTCATTGCATTATTTATTGTCAAAGTTGCATTCTGGTCGTTTGCAATCCATGCTGTGATTCTTGATTCATGAGCAAGCTGGTATTTTTGGTTTTTCTTATCCTCAACTCATTCTTTGATTGCCGAGAATATGAAGATATTAAAGGACATGGAAGTTTTGAGTCCATAGAGTTAATGGAAATCTCAACTTTAGGTGCATCACAAGGCTTTTGATTTACAGTAATGAAAGTAAAGTCTATATAAGATCCGGAAGAAGGGAAAAAAACATGGCTTCGTATCAATTTGCGTTGTGGAACTAAATATTGTGGCCTTCTGTTTTCAGGATCCATTCCTTACATCAAGGAGGAGTTAAATTTGCAGTCTCAACCAGCAGTAGAAGGGCTGATTGTAGCCATGTCAATTATCGGTGGCACTACAATCACAACATTTTCTGGAACAGTATCAGATATCTTCGGAAGACGTCCGATGCTGATAATGTCGTCAATTCTTTATCTTCTAAGCAGCATAATTATACTATGGGCTCCCAATGTTTATGTCCTACTTTTGGCGAGACTACTTGATGGTTTTGGAGTTGGTCTTGCTGTCACTCTTGTTCCTTTATATATATCTGAAACGGCTCCATCTGAGATGAGGGGGCAATTAAATACACTTCCACAGTTTATGGGTTCAGGAGGAATGTTTTTGTCATATTGCATGGTGTTTTTCATGTCAATGATGGATTCACCAAGCTGGCGGTTGATGCTTGGGACCCTGTCAATCCCCGCTGTCATTTATCTAGCATTGACGCTTTTTTTCTTGCCTGAATCTCCAAGGTGGCTTGTGAGTAAAGGAAAGATGATCGAAGCTAAACAGGTTTTGCAGAGACTTCGTGGTAGGGAAGACGTTTCAGGTTTGTTTATAAGCTTGCATTCTCAGTTGAACTCTTCTATTTCTTCCATGTGGTTGAGATTTTTGGTGGCAATTCTAAAGCTCCTTTGATCTGCAGGTGAGCTGGCTTTGCTACTTGAAGGTCTTGGTGTTGGGACCGAGACAACAATAGAAGAGTACATTATTGGCCCAGCCAATGAGATCACTGGTGAAACTGATGCGAAAGAACAAGTTAAATTATATGGGCCCGAGGAAGGTGTCTCGTGGATTGCCAAACCCGTCACCACTGGATTCAGTAGTTTAGGGATGCTGTCCCGTAACGGCAGTTTGGCAAACCAAACCGTGCCTTTGATGGATCCACTTGTCACTCTATTTGGAAGTGTGCATGAGAACATGCCTACAACGGGAAGCACACGCAGCTGCATTTTTCCAAACACTGCAAGCATGGTGAGTGTTGGAGAAAATCAAGGTAGAAATGAACAGTGGGACGAAGAGGGCGACAAGGATGGCGAGGACTCTTATCCAGAAGGTTCTAGAGCTGATTCTGATGACAATTTGCGAAGCCCGTTACTATCACACCAACATTCTAGCATGGAAAAGGGCATCAGTCATTGGCGCAATAGCAGCCTCGTAAATTCTGGGGAAGAAGGTGCTATGGGTATTGGTGGCGGATGGCAGCTGGCATATAAATGGTCTGAGAAGATAGGTAAAGATGGTAGAAAGGAAGGAGGGCTTCAGAGGATATATTTGCACCAGGAAGGTACTATTGGTTCTCAGAAGCATTCCGTTACTTCCTCTGCTGGAATTGACATTCCTGAAGATGAGTTTGTACAAGCTGCTGCTCTGGTTAGCCAACCTGCTGTTTGTTCCAAGGACATACTGGGTCAAGCATCAGAAGGTCTAGCAGCTATTCACCCATCAGAAATTGCGGCTAAAGGTCCAAGCTGCGGTGACCTCTTTGAACCAGGAGTTAAGCGTGCATTGATTGTTGGAGTAGGGCTTCAAATACTCCAGCAGGTATATCAGGACATTTTGCAACACGAGTTGTTTATATGAGATTGTTCCTTGTAGCAAATTCTGCTCTTTCTGGATTTCAACAACCGATCTTTGAATTTCATAACTCTCTTAGCTGACTGCTTTGTTTGAGATGAAACATCGGTTTTATTTGGTTTTATCATTTGGCTGAAGAACGCAATTCAACAATTATCCTTTACCTGCTCTGATGCATAACATTTTGTCGTTCATCAATGAACTAATTCTTGTTTTATCGATCATCGATTATAATGTTAAACGAAGATTATTAAATGTTCCATCTTTCTTCTTATTTATGCCTCATGTGTAATCTTCTTGTTTCTACAGGTTGCTGGCATAAATGGTGTTCTCTACTACACACCCCAGATTCTTGAGCAAGCAGGGGTGGTAGTTCTTCTATCAAGTCTGGGCTTGAGTTCAGCTTCTGCATCTTACTTGATGAGTATTCTCACTACATTCTTGATGCTTCCTTGCATATTTCTTGCCATGAGACTAATGGATGTCTCTGGCAGAAGGTCAGTTTCTTCTAGTTAAGAATTTTTGGTTTTGTTCATTTAGAAACTCAGTTCTTTATATTTCTAGTTGAGAGCCACTTCTGCCAACAGACTCTTTTGCTTCCTTCAGGTCTATTTTGCTGTACACCATTCCTATCTTGGTAGCAACGCTAGTTGCTTTTGTCCTTGGCAGTATTGTCAACATGGACTCGTCTTTGAAAGCAGTGATCTCTACTGGCAGTGTTATGATGTATTTGAGTTGTTTCGTTATGGGCTTCGGAGTAATTCCAAACATCCTCTGTGCTGAAATTTTCCCGACTCGTGTTCGTGGCATTTGCATCACAATATGTTCTCTGACATACTGGATTGGAAACATCACGATCACGTACTCGCTTCCTGTTATGCTAAACTTCTTTGGCCTTTCTGGTGTCTTCACAATCTATGCCATTGGATGCGCGGTGTCATGGATTTTTGTTTTCTTGAAGGTTCCTGAGACAAAGGGCATGCCCCTTGAAGTCATCACCGAGTTCTTTGCTGTGGGTTCCAAGAATGATTGACCTGAGCATCCTACTAGAGATCAAATCTCACTGTTGTTCTGCTGGAATGATTCCCTGTTTTTTTATTTTTTTTGGACCTGTCAATGTCCTACCCCTCTTTCTTTTTTTGTCATTTTTAATGATGGGCACTTGCTGATGTTGGTTCAGCAGTGGCTAGTATGGCAGTCTAGCAGAGATAAATCGTTGGCACAGAAAGTGTTTCAGGAGAGGAGAGTAAATCAAATTTCTATAATAGGCACCACAGCAAAGAGAAAAATTTTGGTTTTCACACTTGCTGATGTAGGTTTTCACACTTGCTGGTGTCTTCACAATTGAGTAAATTAGTATCTTTCTATTCAATAATAACCTTGCCATCGGTTTTCACACTTGCTGGTGTCTTCACAATCTATGCCATTAGTATCTTTCTATTCAATAATAACCTTGCCATCGTGTCTTCTTTATCATCCATCCTATTAGATCTAATTATAATTATCTCTATTTTCTTATGATAAATCATCACACTCCTAGATGTTGACACAAACTTTATAATATTTGATATAGTTATTTATAATAATAACCAGAAAAGAACTTTTTTTCTCATAATTACTTTCATTTTATTTCAAATTTTTATGGGTCTCTTTCTATTACTTAATTTTTTCAATTCAAGTTCAATCCCATCAAATAATAATATGGTTTATAAATTCAATAACAAGTTTTATTTCCTTTACCCTAAAGTAATAGTAAAAAATCAACTCTACTTTTTTTTTTCACTCCAAATAAACTTTCAGATAGCTTTCTATTTTAAAAATTAAAATCTTTATCTTAATAATGTCTAAATGTAAACCCAAATCTCTATCAAACCATCCTAAAATCTAATTCTTCATGCCTACTCTTCTATAATTGAACTACTCAAGTGACCAAACTGTCCCCGGGACTTTGGTTTCTATATGGTTGAAACCTACGAATATAATTCTTATCAAAATTCTTGACTTTTTTTTCCTGTATTTTTTAGTATAGATTCTATTCTTATCAAAATTCTTGACTTTTTTTTTTATTTTTTAGTATAGATTTTTCTAGAGATAAATTAACTCATCTCATAGACCTTCTTCCTTTCAAACCTTTATGATTTGAGCACCCATCTTAAAGATTAGCCATTTAAATTTTCAAACCAGTTATCCCACTTAGATGAATTAATTCCAATTATTATTGCATGGTCAAATAACCTCATTTAGGATTATTTATATCTTTCAGTGATGGTGATCTATTCTTAGTTGACATCGTCAAGAGTTAAAAATTAAGTTAATAGCAATACAAACACATATACACACTGCATTACGTGTTTATACTTAATAGATCTTACTTCTTTCATGTTTCACATAAATCTTTGGATTTTCACTCTATTATGCTCACCTATATCTTTTACCACTTAAGTCTCAAGATTTTAGTTATTTAAAGAACTAGTTCACAAAAAAATAAAAATTAATATCTTAATAGCCTAATCAAATAATATAAAGACTCAATAAACAATAAAAAATAAAACTTATCAATACAAAACTAGAAATATGAAATTGCAAATATAAATATGAATTTGTGTAAAATATGAATGATATGAAAATAAAAAAATATTATGAAAATTAGAAAACTAATGGTATAAGATTTAAACCACTAAAAATATCAAAAGCATTATATATATAAATATTGTGGAGGAAACTAAAAAAACTATGCAAAAACTACCTATTTTCTTTTAAAAACAAATTCAAGAAAGACTAACCAAATAAACTTAAATATCTCAAATCAAGATTTATCTCCAATAAACCTCAAGAATTAATATTGTTTTTAGATTTAAATCAAAAGTGGTTGAATTTTATATTTCTTATATCAAGATTTGAGACAAACCCTAAAAATTTATTTTTCTTGTGATTTTTATTTATTATAAAACTTTATTTAATCAATATCACAAATAATTTCTTTTTTTTTTATTTGATGTTGCAACTAGTTTTTAAAGAAGATAAAGAACTCGATAACAATAAACTATGTGAAAAACTTAAGATAAAAGGGATATAACATGATTTGAAGTCTTGCTCTAATATCATTTATGCAAACTTCGTAAATATAAAAATCCAAAAACCCAAATTCAAATCTATTTTTTCAAAGAAAGCTACATTCAGACTTATAATTGAGTTTAATATAATGATTATCTATATCTAGGCACAAAAATTATAGAAACTAAGCCCCCACACAATGCCTATAAAAAGACACAAATGAGACGCTTAAAATATATCACGAAGCTTGGTTATTTTTTTGATAAGTCAGAGTAGCTCAATGTAGAACTAAATTAAGATAATCCTCTCATTATCACACAATAGATTATTTTAAAATCAAATTCTATAAAAAAAAACTAAATACAAGATAAATAACTATATTTATAATAAGTAAAAACACCCTAAATGATGTTGGAAAAAAAAGTTCTAAATAAAATAAAATAAAAAGTCATAGATCAAATAGAAAACTAATACAACTCTCACATGATAGCTCCTAGACTTTATAATAAAGCCTTCTCAATATTTGATTGCTATGAAATTTTAACTCTATATAAAAACAGACCTTTAAAACTATTTGAAAATTTTTTAGCTCGATCCAATAATTGAATCGAAAAATATACTTTGTAGAGTAAAATTGTGCATTAGAGAATATAAGTCTAAAATCATCTTTAATGTCCTTAAATGATACACACACACGCACGCGCACACACCTTGTCAATGAGGAAATCTATAAAACAAAAGAAAATACAAGTTGTTGACATGAAACCATTACTAAAGTAATCTCAATTGTCTCCATTTATATTTTTTTTTAATAGAAAAAGAATCCTTATTAAATAAAAAGTTCACAAATCATAAGGAAACAAATAGCGAAAACTTATACAACAACTTTTGACTTAACTTCAAACATGTTCTTTCTCATCTAAATGAATTACTTGGAGTACCATATATGCATGGAAAGCTTGAGATGTTTAGTTTCTGACTCAACTAGAATTGTAAAAAAAATTTACTTGTAGCTCAAGATATGGTCCAAACAGTATATAAAGGTCTAGTCTAGCAAATTCGCAACTTGTTAACCTAAATATCCATAATCAATCCAATCCATCCCTCTTGAATCCTATTAGTTTCAGACCTTATAATATGCATATTGCATGTAGTTTCAGACCTTATAATATGCATATTGGTGTCTCTTAATGGATGTTTTATGGATTCTCACTAATTCATATAAATAATATTAAAAATAATTGTTACTATTTTCATCAGCAAGTGTTATTTTTTATTATTTTCTTTCATGTTTGTACCTTATGGGAATTTGAGCAAATTAAAAAATGTTTTAGAACACCTAAAGAAAAGGTGGGCGCCGAAAAGTACGCAGCCCAGCCTCTTCAAGAAAGCTTTGCTTGGTAGGCGCTGCCTACTCACTCAGACAATGCTCTGAACACGAAAGTGTGCAGCCCCCTTCTCCCGAGTCACAGGTAGCGCCTAGGAAAGCACGGACGAGCCACATGCAGGGAAACTTGCACGTGTGGTTCTGGCCGGGGACTCCGGTATACTGTACTAATATGTGTGGGTCCCCGTAATTCGAGTGAGATTGTCATGGCGCAAAAGCAGATATGGTCTGGTATTCCCTTGTTCCCTGTATTGGTTATGTTCTTCATTTCTTGTCTAGCAGAAACTAATCGAGCTCCGTTTGATCTCCCAGAAGCGGAAGCTGAATCAGTTGCAGGCTATAATGTAGAATATGCGCGGGATGCGATCCTTAATAGTCCACTGTTGGCGGAAGCCAATGTCCCGGGGTCCCGGGGACTCATTCTGACTGAAACAAGGGGTGGGTCTTTACCAATTTCTAAAATATTCGATTTAAGGGAAGCCAAAAAGAGCGCCTAGCGCGAGCTTTATTGAAAGAGGCCCCGTCACTATAGATGGGGCGCCCCTTATTTTATTGAAAACTCAAGGAAAGCTTTTATATGTATTCTTGCGCTCAAGCATGCGATTCGAAGAAAGCAACAAGTGAGAAAAGCCCTTTCTATTCTTGCTTCATAACATTAAATTATTAAATGAGTGAATTTGTGAATAACCTAACCTTTTTGATGGGAAGGATTTAAGTTAGAAGACCATTGAGGCACCTTTATCTATTTTGACTTTAGATGATAAATATATCCATTTTGATGGTGTTATGAACTGAGTAGAAATGACCATGTGCCGGAATGTCTAGTTGATGACTTTCCCTATATATTATCATAAGATCAAGATCCTTATTTCTATGTTAATGATGGAGATAATATTTTATTTATATTTTTTTGTGTTAAAACCTTTTACTTTCTCAATATTTTAGCATTTTGTTAATGTTGAATTACTTTAAGTTAAAGTTCTTTTTAGTCTTAACTATTTAGAAATGTTTTTAAATTAAAAATTATGTTTAGATGTTTTACATTATGTTTGTATTGTATAATTTGAAGTTTATTTATTTTTATATTTGAATTAGGATCATGTATGTTGAATTAGTATTTTAAAATGTGTGTTACACACACAATACAAGATCTCATAACAAAACATTGAAATGCTTTAGAACTGGAATAAAAAAAACAAAATGCTAATTAGAATAGAATTGACAATTTTGATTTAAATGTTTAATGGTAGATGAACTCTACATGTTCGTAGAAGATACAAGTTCAAGAAGTCTTGTTATTGTAGGAATGAAACACTTTATTTTATTGATGGAGACTTAGCCTTTTGACCATGGAACAAGTTTCCTTCTACTTCAATTTTATTTGCATATCATATCTACACTTTATTTTATTGATGGAGACTTAGCTTTTTGACCATGGAACAAGTTCCCTTCTACTTCTTTAATTTTATTTGCATATCATATTTTAGGCTGAAATTTGTGTTGGGACATTTAAAAGTTAGAAGTTTATTCACACTCAATAAGAACGGCAAGCAAATGAGAAGTTGCATGAAGAGATGGTATTTTCTTATTTGGTTAGATTTTAGGGAAAGTTAATGGAAATTTATATAGTTATTAAAGTTTTATTTAGCATTGTGGTTTAATTGTGATTTAAAAAAATTAGTTTTAAATTATTTTTTATGTTTTTTGTTATCTTTTATATATTGATGTTAAAAATAAATTTTAAAAAATAAAAATATATATTATTTTAATAAATATCTAACTGAAAAAAAATATTTTAAAAAATATCTACCATCCTTCTACACACCCAAAATTTTACCAAAAAGGCGGAAACTATACAGATGTGGAAGGCTGGTGGCATAAGCGAGTTTTCTGTATCTTTCCATGTTCGCTTCATTGTCTTCGCTTCATTGTCCAGGC